AAGAAGCAGTCTCTTTGCTGAGCTGCAAGTAAGATGACTAGAGATAACTGCCACACGCTGAGACCTGGGAGACTCCAGCTGCTCGGGGGCAGGAGATTTAAATAAATAAACCCACTATAAGGACAGCTAAGGAGCAAAGTGGGAGCCTAGAGAGGTTGGGCAGTCCCCATCCTTGAAGGTTTCAAGACTCAATCAGACTAAGCCCTGAGCCACCCAATCTGACCCTGCAAATGATCCTGCTTTGAGTTTGGACTAGTAACTTCCTGAGGTTCCTTCCAGCCTCATGATCACAAGCAAATGAATCCTCTGTTCAAGAGTTCTCTAAGGCTCTCAAAAGTTTTTGTTAAAAACACCTGGTAAAACCAGATGACTAAAAGCAACTGATGATTTGGGAGCTTATGAGACTCCTGTGGCTTGCTGCCTGTACCAAATAGAGACAAACTGAGAATTCATTGTAGCCGGATAGAAAAATTCACTCAGCAATACAACAATATTAACTCTAGAAATCTGCACAGCTGTCAAACAGCAAATGAAATAGGAGCACTCTGGTAATACACAGGAGATGACTTTACTACTTGAAAATTAATTACATGTCCAATCCTGATGTCAAATGATATTTAGTAAATCTTTACTTAAATAAAAGATCTTGACTCACTTTGAAATGAGTTACCACAAAAATTCAGATGTCATTCTCGCAAATTTGGCCATGATTAAAGTGATGTAGCTCTGTTGACTTAACACCCAATTTCTACAGAGAAGGGAAACCTAAGATTTGTTCCAAGATTTCATGTTATGCTTTATAAATTAAGGGGCATATACCAACTCACATATTCATTTCTCAATGAAAAAAGGCAAAAATTCAAAGAGCAGGCTGTTGTATATTTTTACTTGCATTAAACAGCAGATGGAAATGCAACCAAGATATCTTATCATTTGGTAGCCAGCCAGCCACTTAGCCTTCAGCACATCATAAAATAAACATCTTAATATAAAATGCAACAACTTCCCTCTGTCTTTCAGCTACAAGCCTTTTTTTTAATATATCTTTTTTTCTTCCTGTAAAATTGTAGAGTCATTTTCTTCCCATTTCATCTTCTCCAACTATGGATCTAACTTCCAGATTTGTCACTGTGGTTAGGTCCTACAACTCTATCCTGTTGTTGTGCTCTAATTTTAGCACTCTTCCAACTCATCCGGCTTATCGCTGGCCTGTAAGATCCTTATCACTGGGATATAGCTGAGATTCCTAGAGCTTCCCTTCATTCTCAGAGCACTGGAAGGAAAGGCTTGCTATAACTTCACTGGGTACTGCAATAAGCTTGTGGCAAATTCCAATATTCCTCATATGTTTTAGCTACACAGTTTCCATTTCATCACTGCAATCCGTCAAAAACATTCGCTATTGCTCAATCATGTTTCTGAAAAGAAACTGAGGATGAGATTTGGAAAAATCACACTTAACAGCTATGGAAACTGTGAAGATATGCTGATGTAGCAAGGCTTTTAATATATACACCTCAACACTGTGTGTATACACAAAATTAAGTGTGGAGCAGAGAAAAAAACAAGTAGAACAAAATATAAAGTGTTCACAGAGTTTTGCTTGCGACTTTTTTTGCCTCTTGCTAATTATGGATCATTTCTTTGGAAATCCAGTAATATATGCATTGAAAATAAACACAGACCACTTGGGCAAAACGCTTTGTGCACACTACTGCATGAAAAGAAGTCCTCATAAGGAGCAATTCCATACAGTTTGAGGCAGTCACATACTTTTTGAAAAAGTTGGTAAACAAAGATCTCAAACCTAATGCAAATGTCAAATTTTAGATAAGCAACAGTGCAACACCGGGGAGACCATGCACCTAAAATGAGTTCCCCAAAGGATGCTAAGCAGATTGGCTCTACTCCTAATCGAGGAAGTACTCAAGCTCATACTTAGCCCTAGCTGCATGGGCAGTTCCCTTGAAAGGTGATGGAGCTTCTTATACACCTGACGTTAAAGATGCACTTTTGTGCTTTGCTGGGTTAGGGCCAGAAAGTTCAGTACTGGCCTGCGCTTAGGGTAACACCCACAGCAGTAGCATATCAGGGAACTGGGCAGCACAAACAACTCTGGGCGAGCATCCCTCGCAGCGAGGCAATGCCAGCACATGCGCAGGCAAGGGACAAGGTGTCTTGCCTAAAGATAATGAGAATATTGACAGAAAGGCCGAAGGATGGCAAAATCCAAAGAAAGACCAAAGTGGCACTAATCCCTAACATACCATCTTGCTATAAACTGCGCTCCTCCGGTGGAAAAGAACTGTATTTTCAGCCCCTGCACAAACTGACAGGTTGTATCCATGTACACACGCGAGACCACATCATGCCTGAGCTCTGGGATTCAAGTGCATCAGGCAAAGAAGACCAAGACCCACAGCACCCCCCAACACAGGGCATCTTCAGGACAAAGACCAGGGTTGTGCTCGACACAGCCAGAACCCCGGGCCCAAGCACGAACTCCAGGCACAAGGCACTCACACCTGGACGGGGCTGCTAAGCACACCAAAGCCCTGTGCTTGCTGCATGTTGACGCATCTTCTCCATCTGCTGTTGTTGATCAGTGGCCTCGTGGCACTCCTTTCTGCCCAGAGCTGCTCTTAGGTTTTTATACACACCTTTCTCACTTGCTCCACACTGACCAGCATGCTATTTTCTCCCTAGTGCTGAACCCAGGACATTTAAGTCAAAGGACATGCTCAACTTTTGCAGGGATTTGGTGCGAGACAGTAAAAGGATATGCATTAAATCAACTCAGAAACAGCAGCATATGGGCATGGCATCTCTAAATTTATTCTGCGTTAGCCTAGTCTAACCTTCTGTACTAAAAAAAAAAGCCAAATTAAAGCTGACAAACTTGCATTTGTTTCTGTGTTTATGTACTATAAGCATATAAAATTAGCTTAAGAAGGGAGCAACATTAGTTATGTAATGCTACAGGTCATATTACTGCTCAACTCTCTGATGTTTGCCATCTGAAAAAATACTAAATGCTATTTTATCGTCAGTAGTAAGCTGTATTTATCACTGTGTCAGAGTATCATAATTAGCTACATCCTTATAGTTAAGGACATAATATGAGGCAGTCGTTTTAAACATCTTTAATATTGGAGCTCTTCAGTCCTATGGCCAAATACAGCCTACATTTCAAGAAGGCTCAAGCCTTTTGGGACATGAAAGTAACTTTGGGGTAACACGAGTTAGAGCTAAATCAGACCTAGCCTTAAAAACAAGAGGAAAGTTGGCTTCCTGTATTCAGACACCTGAGTGCAAAGGAGGCAGGGGATTCAGAAGAATACAGATCAGACCGAAGCATCTGCCATTACTATACCCTATAAAATCCAAAAGACTTACCTGGATTTTCTAACTTCAGGCTTTGAAATGTATTTATTACATTACGTTACATAACATACAGAGATCTGTTGCACAGAGATGTTTCTGGTTTTGCTTTTGCAGGCTCAGAAAGCACCTTTGTTTTCCAGGAAAGAAACCCCATGAGTAATTAAAAACAAAGAATACAGGTTCAAAATTTGAAATAGCAAATGTGTCTTTTGGGATGAGACGAGAGTTGGACTTCATTCAGTAAGTTTGCCACGTGACAACATAGAAATCACGCAGTAAGCTGTAAACTGGCATTGAAAATCTAAGGATTGGTTTGGGTTCTGTTGAAATGAACAAGCGTTTTGGTATTTACTCTGGCACAGTTGTTCACCCGCGTACGGGGTCTTATTACGATCCTTTAACACCAGCAATGGTTCTGCAATTCAGTAGGGAAATGAGCAGCTGGAATCATACATGCCCTCTGGTAGCTTTTGTTTGGAAGAATATCAAGCACTGTGCTCCACTATGGGCTGGATCGTGGAAGTCAAGGAGTGACAGTAAATCTCCTAGGCTTCTTTCGAGGAGTTTACAACAAATTCCTGCCACAACAGATGAAGGATTGAGGGGTTAAGCTGCAGGGCCCATGGATGGTGGGGGAGCTGCAAAAGGTCAGGGCTTTCTTTAGGAAGGCTTTATCCTCTATAGTCCTCCCTGGGAACTATAGCATTTCTGCATTGTCCCCTTTGCTACAGAACTGAAAAGACTTTTGAGGGGTGTGACGTTCAAAAGCATGGAAAGGCCTTGCAAAAGCTGCTGCTTGCCTTGAATTATATTTTCAACTGATTTCTTTCCTAGTTGCTAAAGCCATAGCAAACCTGGCAGCCTTGCCCACCGTGCCTGCCCTGGGAACCGACTCTGAAAGCACAACAGAGCTCAAGAGGCAGCGCTGCAGAAGTAGGTGACCAGGGGATCTCCACAGGAGACCGCTGCTGTAAAAATGTAACCACCGCAAAAACAAGGACACTGTGGCTGTCTGCTGTGTCTACAGGTTTGGGTGGGTTTTGTGAGCCCTTTTAAGCAGGGACAATCCTAGAAGGACTGGAAAACACCCACTGCCACACAAGCAATCATAATTAGAGAGCAATGGGCATGGCAGTGCACACAGCCCAGTGCACAGGAGTCACTTGCATGGGCTGATGTAGCTGCAGTGACATGAGATGTGAACGCACAGAACAAGGTAGGAAATGTTTTCCCCAGGCTCTGTAGAAAACAGAGTGAAGTCTGACTAATCCTTGGCAGCGAAGGGTGCATCCTAGACTCACAGCTGGGCCAGGATGCCCTGCGGGGCTCCCTCTGCTGTGCCCTGCCTTTCCCAAAGTGGGCCCAGGATGGACACTACCCACCACGCAGGACGCGGGGCCCCGCTGCTAGCCACAATTTTGCGGCACAAAGCACAGGAGAAACCTCTAGGACTGTCGGAGCCAGGGCTGATGCATGGACCTGTCCCAGCTCCGAAGTTCCTCTGAACTTCACGAGACTCCAGGTCCATCTGCCCGGGACACCCAGAACAACATTCAGTAACAACAACTGTGACAACAGGGACTTGAAGGGGTAACAAAAGCGGCGCCATGACTTACATAAGCGTTGCTGTCCGCGCGAAAGTGCGTGGACACACAGGCTTCCTCGCTCATCTCCTCCATCCCGAAGATGCAGACGGCGGTGCTGTTCCAGGCCCTGGCGCTCCGGCTGTGGCGGAAAACACCCACCCACCAGCCCGTGGCTCCCAGGCGGACGAGGCTGGAGGAGAGGATGAGGCTCCTGCAGCCGCAGTCCAGGTACACATGGCCTTTCAAAGTGAAGGTGCTTTCCGAGGGCCGCAGCTGGTCCAGCACGGCCATGCTCGGCACCTCTCCATCCTCGCCGCCCTCGCTGCCCTCGCCCTTGAGCCGGTAGTAGGGGAAGAAGAGGCGGCTCTGCCAACGCAGTGCGTCCACGAAATGCAGCGGGTGCTCTTTGTACTTGACGATGGCCAGCTCCTCGTCGGACGTCAGCTTGTCCACGCGGCGCACCGTGATGGCAGTGTCGGCGTCCGACTCGGACGGCTCGCAGCCCAGATGCTGGCCGCGCACCGAGTAGGTGGCTGCCACGGCCAGGTACCAGGCGCCGGCCAGCTCGAAGACCACGCCGGCCGTGGAGCCGCCGGGCAGGCAGCTCACCACCCC